TGGCCAAATGAAGTTAGCCGCATTTTTCAGTTGCTGCCAAACAGATGCAGATACTTGCACTTACCGATGCAGATGCAGATACAGATAGATATAAATACGGATACAGACAGAGAGAAAGAGACCTGGCCTGGGATGGGTGATGGGTGATGGGGCATGGGGCATGGGGCGGCAGCAGCAACCGGTTGGATGCGAGGCGCAATTAAAAAGCTGCGACCAGCTATCTCTGTGTGGGTCTCTACGAGTAGAGATTGGAATGGATGAGCGGATGGGATTGGGCTTAGAGATGGGATTGGGTATGGGTATTGCGCGGCACTTGTCGACAATTTCCTGCCATTAGTTTAGCTGCATGTCAAGGTTGTTTGGCAAGCCCAGAGGCACCAGCTGAATACAATTGTACGAGTACGAGTGTGCTCGCATCTGTGGGCAGCAGCTGCATACACACACATACAATTATGGCAACGCGTTAAGCGTCGTCTTTCAAATGAAATGCAAGCCAGCTATTACCCAAGTATGAAAGCCAGAGGAGTAGCAAAAGTTGCTGCTGCTGTTGTGGCAGCTGTGGCAGTTGCTGTTTGATTTCGCTTCACTTTCTTCCAGGCAACAACATCCATCCAACCAGCCGTTTTGCCAGCGTTTGCCGTTTGCCGTTTGCCGTTTGGTCAGCAATAGAGTGGGGCATAAAAACCTGCATCTTCTCTGGCCAAAACATTGCAATGTGGAAAATGCACTCCAACAAATTATTATGAGCAGCACTCGGCTGGCAATTTGATGTGAAGCTGCGAAGCACTGTAGCTCCATGGCTGTGTGTGTCTGTTGGCTGTTGGCTGTTGCCTGTTGCCTATTGCTGTTGCAGTTGCAACACTCAAACACCCAAAAAAAAACAACAAAAACAAAACAAAATCATAAAAGAAAAACCCGATCTTGGCTGACTGTGACAGGTTGGAGCGTTGTTGTTGTTGCTGCTGCATTTATTGGGCGGCATTTGAGGCATTCAACGTACCCAAACACTTGCAGCTGGCCATAGCCACAAAAAGCAACAGCCAGGAGCAAGGTAGAGATATGTACATAATATGCACATGTACATATGTACTACATACCAGGGAGTATGTGTCGAAAGACTTGGAAATAGTGAGAGAGAAAATAACTCCAATTGTAGCGCCATGGATTGGCGAGACAGGAGAGCAAGCAATGGGCATGTAGAGCCACGAAAAGCTACAAAATATAAGAATGAATGAGCCAAAGGATAAACCACATTCCACCAGCTATCGTTGAAGTAATTGCCACATTCCGTACCTATGGCACATATGTAGTTACAGTTTACAAAGTACAAAGTTGAAGTTCATGAAAAGCATTAGGAATGAATAATGTGAAGTAGATAAATGCAGCATGGATAGTTATAGATCCAGATATAATTGCAATACCTTTGCAAATACTCTCGTATCTTTAGACTTTGCCAAAGATTGATAGACAGAGGATTGCTCAGACAGCTGACTGCACTTCCATGGCAACCGCAATCGAATCGACTTGGCTCGACTTGAGATCTTTTTGGTGCAGCCGACGACGACGCGTTCAACGAGCAAACGCATGCAACTGTCAGTTCTGTAGATACCGATTGTTGCACTGCTTTAGTGATCCGAGCAGTAGGTGCAGAAGAGACGGGGAGTCTGTGAGTCTGATGGTACTGCAGTTGACCCCATTCCATTCCACTCTGCTTCTGCCAGGTCTTAATGACTGACGTCAGATTTGCAGTCGTCTCCTTCTAGTAGGGCGCTGACGTTTGCCTCTGGCATTGATTGAAGTCTAATTAAAGTGAGACATGCAAAAAGAAAGAAGAACAAAACCAGAAAAAAGAAAAAAGAAAAAAGAAAAGAAAAAGGGCCACGGCTAACGGGGCTGGTATGTAGATCAGCTATGCAATGCATTTCCCGCTCCAAAGAAAGAGCCGGCCCGGCCCGGCCCGGCCCGACCATCAAATGGATGTCAGACGAGGAGGCATGCCGCAAAATATTTGAGAAAGATTTTGCGCACAAACGAAAGCAGCCCCAGAGAGGCTGAATTTCTCAATCTATTTTGTTTCTTTTGTGTAGAAGTAGAAGAACGCGCAGAGTCGCCTCCAAAGATGCCTCTCCGCCTCCAGAGGCTGATCATAACCGATCATTAAACTGATCATATGGTTTCATTGTCGAATCTGCCGCTCGCGAAACTTGTTTATGTTGTTTGTCCCTCTGTTCTTCACTGCTTGCCACGTTTTTTCTTTTATTTTCGGAATGAGTTTGTGCCACTTTTCGCCAAAAATGAGGGGCAAAACAAAAAGCAACAAAGAAACAGCTCAAGAATTCCCCCAAAACGGGGTCACCAAGTACCAGTACCAGTGCCAGTACCTGTACCAATACCAGGCTAGGAGGTCTGGCTCTGGTCTACTCAGCGCTTCAAGCACCAGAGAAATGTTGATACACAGCTCTCGATGTTGGATAAATCTCTGTAGCTGCTTATACACTCGCGAGTGTGGCATGAACTACACTAAGTACACAAAATAACAATGTGATAGCAACGTCACCGCCCCCAATCAGAGAGAGAGAGAGAGAGAGAGACAGAGACGCCGTAGAGAACCTTCACGACGACCGAACCTGAAAACATCAATTGCCCAAGTTGTGTGTTAAGGTTGAGGTTATCACCGAAACGTGCCCCAACAAGTACAAGTTGGTACGTACGAGTACTCGTACAACTAACTGTCAAGTGGGGTTTTCTTTTGGCTGTTTTTGGGTGATTGGTTGGCTCTGTGGCGCCCTCGAAATGCTGGCCAAGTGCGCGTCCCTCGGCCCATATCAGCAGGGGTTCCAGCCAAAGAGCCCAGTAAGTCGCTGAGAATTTATTGGCATTCCTTAGCCGTACATTATCGAGTGGTTTTTGATAAGCGGATACTGCAAAACAAACACACACATGGCACACATCATATTGATACAGCCGAACCCCAACCGAATCGAATCACTAATATGCGCGTTAAACAAACCTTAAATGATTTAGAAACAAACTGAAAGGTAAACATGGCCCAGACATCATCGATAAGACCGCAAACTCATAATCATACATACTTTAGCACTAATTAATTGATCCGGTCTGGGGTAGTTTCGTTGAGAGAATTTAACAAATCTTTTAGAACCTTTTAGAAAGATCTTCAGCCTAGAAGCTAGACTCTAGATCCTTTAGAACCTGTTCCCGTATCTTGCAAGATGTTTTATATTCTGAAATTGTGTATGGATATTCGCAATAAATACAACACTTAAAAGAACAACCTTTTGACAAGTTGTTTCTGGATAGATTCTTACGAAATTTACATATAACAAATAAGAAACACTTTTGGAGCTGTCTGCGTGTATAAATCTTTGAAATGTGGTCGGCTCGCTTGATGGAATAGTCGTACCACGCGAGCTACACATAATTAGAAATCAAAGAATTTAGCGACGGTGATGGCGATGGCACACCCTGGGCTCTGGCGGAATGGCCATTTATGGTCTACCCAACCTGTCAATGGCCGTGCCAGGTCGATGGATGGGTAGAGTGGATGATGATGTCACAAGTGGAAGTGTGTGTCTGGGTGAGGCTTCCTTCCTAAGCTGAAAATGGTCACGCATTAGCCGGGGCACTCCTCCCTTGGGGAGTGGAGAGTGGGAGGCCAGCACGCGTCGGTGGAACTTTGGACAGGAGCGCCCCATCAAAGAAGAAGTAAAAGAAGGTAGCAGTGCGACTCCCACACTGTAATACCCGATGCAGATAGCGGGCGGGCTTGGGGCGCTTCACGAAGGTCGTCAAATCGTCAATCAGAATGGGAAAGAAGCTTGCGCAATTCGACTGCCATCCACCATCAGCCAGCGCCAGCGCTGACGTTGCTGCCCGCGTCGTCGTTGGCGTCTTCGTCGGCGTCATCATATGACTTATGCAACGCACTTGGCCTGAAGTTTTAGTTCAGTTTTTCCAACGCGCGCGACAAGTGAAGATACCGCCATAAACCATAAAGCAGAAAGACCCAGAGGCACACAGAGAGAGAGAGAGAGAGAGCGAGAGCTCAAGTAACGAAACTGTTTCTGCAGATATGTAAATGGTAATGTGCGAGGATACATGTACAGATAAATGTGAGTGTGTGTGTTCGTGGAGTATGCAGTTTTCCTTTCACCGCCGCTCTCATTGCTGCTTTCTTGCTCTCTTCGCTGCTGCTATAGATATACCCTTTCCGAGGATGGCTTGCACTTTCGTCTGTCTATTTATATTAAAACAAGCTTTCTAGCAGAAACTTTGAGGAAGCCAGTTAATCATTTTAAAACTGCACAAAAAGCTCTGCACTGTTAAGAAGCTCTTCAGTGTACTAGTGTGGAGTTTCCTTTTCACCAAGAACTCATCCCCCATGCGAATAACCTTTTGAACTTATCGATAAATCGGTAATCAGCGATCGTCTCCACGATCAGAGTGACCAAAAATCATATTGTCTACAATCCTTTGCCTCCCATGCCACTCACGTCAGTTCACACGCCGCAAGTATTTCGAGAACAATAACGAACGTAACTGTGCTTTCATATAAACTCGACCTACAAAATCGTATGCAATTCATGGGAACGAACGAGTTGGAAGTGTATCAATCGCTGCGGCCCCAAAGCTGATGTTCCTTCCATTTTTATTGTTTTTGCATTGGTGATAAGATTAAAGAGGAGCAGCAACACCAGCAGCATTCAAGCTCTCAGAGAGGGAGGTGAAAGAACAAGAGAGTGGAGTGGCTAGGTGAGTGTGGTGTGATGAGCGGCTCGTGAGAGAGTCAACAGCTGAGCGCAACGCGCACTCTTTGCCCACGGGGCTCTATTATTAGAGAGTTACCGTTTCTTTATTATTGCTACTATTATTGTGTGTCCGTGTGTCCGCCGTCTATCAGAGAGTGCTCGTGTGAGTGTGTGTGTGCGTGCTGTCTTTTGCTGTTGTGTTCTGTGCATAATTTGCGCGTTTTTTGTTTTCAGTTGTTTTTTCAACGTCCGCCGCCTCGCAAAAGTTGCTCCGCTTCCACTCCCTCTGCCCGCAGAAAGAGTGCGCTCCAAGGAGAGAAAGAGAACGAGAGTAGAAAGCACCGCTAATCGCAGTTAGTACGCAGTTCTAAACAGTTTTATTTTTATTTTACTGCTGCTCGATTATACCTGCGGCTGGGTATGTGTGTGCGTAAGTGTGAGTGCTTTAACTTTTTTGTTTGTTTATGAACAACGTGCAATTTGGTCAAACAACAAAAACTGTACGGGGAGGCAGCAAAAAAAGCAAAAAACAAAAAGCTTGCAAAGAAAGTGCACTGAAAAAAAACTGCAATAACAACTGAAATTTCAAGTTAATACAAACAAAATGTGTGGCCCTGGAAGTGGCGTTTATCCCTTGCGTCACGTAGCGCCACAGACGGGATAGACTTTGAGAGGGTTTGGCAGTGCACTCTGATAACACCATCAATAATCCAATAATATAAAGAACCCAGCCCCAACCCCCTGAATAGCAGCTGTGTGTGTGTGTGTGTGGAATTATAATGTCATTATTCTCGGGTAATCCAGTTCTGACGAAGTTCTTGGATTCCTCTGAAATAACTTTTTAATCTCATTTTTGAGAACTTTATGTTTGCGATTCCACTTCTGATCCCAAATTAGTTATTTTTCATAATCCTCTGAACAGTCCTCGTACTTATGTATGTCCTTGTGGACATTTCATTCCCATCCCAGCAAATCAAATACAGACGTCAGACCAACGACACTCGGTGCAAAGTTTCAATTAAGTTTTGACAGTCTTCAGCTATTGGATGCCATCAAATACCTATAGACAGCTGTGCCTTATCGTACGACCCATGATAGCTTTAGGAGCGGTACGTGCCACGCTCTACGTGGATGGTGGACCGTGCAACTAACGCTTTGCACCGGTCTAATCAAGTGGCGGCTCAAATTGCGGCACAAATTGAAATACTAAATACACACACAGACACACGATACATACCCCCAGGTACATATGAATGTTTTTTAGATAAGGAGCCAAAACTGTCAGCAGATGTGGCGGTGCTTAGCATATTTGGGATTAGTCATGCGTATCGCTCGCCTGATAGTAACTGCTGCAGTGTCCGTGTCCGTGCCCGTGCCCGTGCCCCCAGTCTTAGCGACCCACCTTAGTGACTCCCCAGATAATGCTGTCAGACAGCAGAAGCCATCGCAAACACACAGCAAAGACGCTGGACTGGGGACTTGGGAAAGTCATTCCACAGGTGTTTCCGCAAGTGTATGAGTCGCTGGTCGTTTATCAATATACGATTTGGCCAAAGAAATTTGCATAGCTGACTAGTTGAGCGGGCTCTGCTCCGCTCCGCAGAATGATGATTATAAAGAAACAATGATGAGCGCCAATAAAATTTAAACAAAAACAAAAATTCCCTCACGTCGGTTATCCAGTATGATATCATCGCCTAACTTTGATTCAGTCTCACAGCCAGAAGCAGCGACTGGGATTGGGACTGCGATTGCGACTGAATGCAATGCCAAACTTCAATGTCAGTGTCACCCATCGAATAAAATCGCAATAAAAACGATACGTAACGATGCGAAACATCTCCCTATAAATAATCCCATGATGGAACGCATTGGAACCCCCCTAACCACAACATTCCGAATCAGCGTTAGGCATTAATCATCGCACATCCATCCATCCATCGAATCGGCTCTTCTGTTTGCACTTCTGATTTTCCTTATTTGCGCTGCTTCGAGACCTTATAAATGCTTTCCATCCATACACAGCGCATACAATTATTTAGGCACACACATAACGGTAGAAAGTTGCCAATTTATTGTGCACATAACGGCCAGTCACCACTAGGGCTACCCATTGATCATTGTCTCCATCGTACTCCTACATATTTGGATATGTCATAAAATCTACATACAATTATGGGCATCGGGCCCGCAGAGGTTATCCAACTCTAAAGCTCCTGTAAGGGTATACCTTTCGTTGTTGGGTCTTGAGATTGATCAGAGCTTAAGTAGAACATATCTAAATACCAGATGGAGCTATTTAGACTGAGTCTCTGAATGTTGTCAACGTTTTTGAGGCCCCGTGCTGGCAATGAAATTCCACTTAGAGCTAATTAAAACGAAAACAGGAATCGCTCTGACCCCTAGAGTAGCAATTAGACACGTTACACCTTATAAAGCAGATAGTATATGTACTTAACAGAGTCACACTATGAGTAAAGCGGCGTGGAGTGTGTGCAGTGCCACTCGAGAAAGTTACTTAACCATCTCCGCGATCCGCACCTATCCGATTCGATACCGATGCAAGCAAAACAATTCAATTACGAGTACTTTTAATTGTTCAGCTGCAGCTTACACTTCTCTGATTCATCGCGACCTATATATGTACAAGTATGTACATATATAGTAGATCTATAGTAGCCATAGTATATCTGATATGATGGCGGAGGCTTATAGATATGATGGCGGAGGCTTATGAATGGGCAAACAAAAAAATTCCAAGCTGATTGGGCCGGGAATCATCCGTCTGAATATGAGCGTCCATAAAGATAAATCAGATATTTCAGATAGACCTACTCGAAAGATACTAAATGCTCGCACATATCTGTTATGACTCTCGGATCCCATAAAATGCGAACAAAGTTCATCCCGTAAGCCATTCAAAGACAATTAAATTTTTTATTTCAATTAGCCGGGTTCAAAAGGCCCCAAAAATAAACACATTTTGGCCCAGCTGCTGCTATGTTGATGTGTGTGCTTTGTGTTTGTGATTAGCTATTAGCCAAGCTCATTATTTTGGCCAAGAGTAACAGCAACAGCAACAAGCAAGCCCATGTTCACGGAACGTGATGATTTCAGGCAAGAAAACCTTTTCATCGTCGCCTCTCGATAGCCGAGGAATTTTTACTTACTCATGTCTATTTCTAGGGGAATTTTAGTGGCTGACTGTAAAAGTATTTTGTGCGCAAATTGATAAACCGCAGAACAGGTGGGGGAGGGCGGAGCATAACATATTTCAGCTCGAAGTGAGGGATACCCAAGAGTCCAAGTTGGAAATTAGCGTCGACAAAGCTCTGTTTTGAGATTAAATTTGTAGTTCCTTAAGCAGTAGTAAGTGCAGCGAGCTGAACAGAATTTTTATCATGCACACGACAAGTATGTTGTTTTAGGCATGCTCTAGCTGAGTGCTGGATAAACATGCCTCGAGCCAAGAGCCACTTTTGCACAAAATTTGCATTAACGATTCAAGAAAACTCCCAGTTGCGTTTTACGAGTAAATCTAATTAGGTTGGCTACTAATAGTCGGGGCTAATTAGTTGTTGCTTCTCATTAAAAAGTAAACACAAATCGATTGGCTCCAAGGTGGGCGGGGGGTCACGTGCCAAAACATATGGACATACAGTACGTTTAATGAGTATAAGCCGCTCTGCAATGAAATGCTCTAAAAAAAAGAGGAGTTCAGCGAATTCATAAGAAAAGAGAGTTAAAAAAATAATTTCCATATCCTCACGTGCTATCATATCTCTCTTTCTCTGTGGTTTCTGTTCGTGTCCATTCGCTTATGGAGAATTGATGCATTCGATTAATGTGCCTGTGTGGTAGCATTACATATGTGGCACGCACTGTCCTGTAGGCAGTCACGAAATTAGTATGCAAATATCTATTTAAAGTGTTGCTGTCTGTGCAGCGGCAATTGCTGGCAATTTGCATGGCCATGCCGCACACTGTTGCACTCTCAATCTAACTGTGTCATTAGACAATAGACAATAGCGCTTGCCCCTGCAGCACCACCCCCTCAAGAGCTGCATGCGCCACCCAATCAACGTCGCCTTCGCGTTTTGCATTGTGTGCAAATGGAAAACGCACGCGACAGAGAGCACAGCGCACAGCGCACAGAGCACGGCACTCCACTCCGGATCCGCTCGTAAGTCGCGCAGCGTCGACGATTTCGATTTTTCTTGAGAGCTTATCGCGCGCCGTGTGTGTGTGTGGGTGTGTGTGTGTGTGTGTGCATATAGACATTTGTGGGTGTTAGCCATTGTACATATATCCCAGGCGGATGAGCAATTAAGCACTAAGCCAGGCGCAGAAAACAAATAAAACGAAAATTAAATTGATAAAGCAAATAGTTTGAAGGCAAAAACCAAGCGATAAGCCGACCATGAGGATATCCTCTAATACCTCTTTTTGAAACAACAAAAATAACGCATATTGAAGACGCTTGTCACGCACACGACATGCATTTGGTTTTAGTTTTTGCATTCTCTTTAGCATTTTTCGCTTGTGCATCGGTTTGCAGAGAATAAACCTCACATCACAGCAATAAAAGCAAGCTTTGAAAAACATTCAAAAAATACATCCAGCATACGATCGAGTAGACTTTGGGACATACTTTCTAGGGCATACTTTCTTTCCCCACATCTAAGTTGTTATACATTTTTTTTGTCGTGTGTGTGTGTGGCTCGCTCCCCACCTTCGTGCGTACGTTAGCCATGAAGCATATTGATAAACAAGAAACCATAAGGAAGGCCCCACGGCCCACCTCAAGCCCCCTCATGCCTGAGTGCCACCGTTCCAGCCGTGTTATCAGGCGTCGGCGATAGCCAGTCTTGGTCTTGGCATTTGGGAGGTGTTGTGCGGGGTCTGCGGGGCCATTCATTGTTTTGTAATCAGGCAGCTGTTGAATTTTCGCCTTTTGCTTTTCACTTGCAGATTTCACAGCGCACAAACCGCACGCCAATTGCTAGCATGCTCTAGGAATATATTACGAAACGTCGCGATACCCCAACGACATTCCCCCCCAACCCACCAACCAAAATACAAAAAGAAAGCGAAAGGAAAGCAAGCGACAAACGAAAAGAAGAGCGAAAGGAAACGCCACTTACATTGGACAAAAAGGATCACAAAAGATCCAAATAGAAAGGGATTCCCCGCACAATAATGAGCAACATGAAGGGCGGCCTATCCACATTGAATCGCTGGTTTGGCCGCAAAAAGGGTAAGTACTGGGATTGTCTGATTTCCTTTTGCTAACAATTCCCTTGCATCCGCAGACAAATCAGGCAGCAACAAGAGCTCATCGATTGGGAATTTGTCAAAGTCCACCACGCAGCTGCACCAACTGTCCAAGGAGATGGAAATAAATGAGGCTAGTCAGCTGGATTACAATCGCATCACACCCATACCGGCGGTCACCAGCAATGCACCCTTCGAGCAGACATTCCGCATCACAGTGCTGCTGCCCAAGGATCAGCTGTATGTGGCCAGGCTGGGGGCACGGGTGCCGATGCGCAAGCTCCTCGAGCTGGTGTGCGACAACAAGCAGCTGGACATAGACAAGTACGAGTTCCGGAGTCCAGGTGAGAGCCACAACAGATGCCCAAGGAGCAACCCCACCACAGTAAGGTTTTCCCTTGGTTTTTGTTTTTTTCATAGTGGATGCTAGTCAGGTGTACAGCTGCGAGTCGACCATTGGGGCGGTGGGCCTCTCAGAGATTCGACTGTGCCACAAGTCCGAGTCGTATGACAGCTTCAACGGCGATGCCATGACCAAGTTCCAGCGGCAGGGCACCGCCCGCGACTCGCTGAGCAGCAGCTCGGACTTCAGCAGCAGCCGCAACTCGAAGGTCACCGCCAAGACGCCCAGTCCGTACAGCTCCACAAACTCCCTCAACTCCATGGACTCCACCGGCATGAACTACACACGCACGCCCGTGTTCGTGCCCGCCAAGGTCATGGCACCGCCGCCGCGCAAGAAGCGTGTGGCCCCACGTCCGCCCAGCCAGCACTGCATACCGGAGCAGTCCGTGCCGGAGTCGGAGCCGGATCGAGCACCGAAGAGTGCGGCAGAGCCCGCGTATGCGGTGATCGTGAAGCGTCCACAGCTGTGCATGTCCACACCGAATCTGTCCGCCCAGCCGCCCGAGCTGCTCGACTGCAATGGGAACAGCGCCAAGGCATCCCCGGTGGACACCGACGGGCACTATGCCACGCTCGACCTGAAGCGTGCCTCGGGTCCGGTCAGAGGTTCCATTACGAGCACACAATCCGGCCAAGGACAGGGCCCGGGCCCGGGTCCGGGTCCGGGCCAGGGACCAGAGCCGTCGCCCCGCCGTCGCCTTTTGCAGATCAAAAAGAAAGCGGCTCCAGCACCGCCCCCGGGCTTCGCACTGGCTGGAAACGTAAACGGAAATGGAAACGCATCCGGAGCGGATACCATATCGCTGGCATCCACCACGCACTCCCTGTCGGAGACGCTGACGCCCAGCACACCGCAGCCAGCTCCAAGGATTACCACACCGCTGCCCACAGTCACAGCAGCAGCAGCACCCACACCCACACCCACACCCACACCCACACCTCCTAACACACCCATTCCGGCTCTACCGAGCAGCGCCCCACCAACTGCTGTGTCCCAGAACGTGTCCAAGGTGCTGCTCAACCGAACGCCCACACCAGAGCCCCGCTCCCTGGGCAGCGCCACGGAGGAGGAGGACAACAACGATGCCGCCTCCAAGCAGGCAGACTCTGGCATCGGAGAGCCCGCACCCTCACCCTCGCCCGAGCCCGAGGAAGCCGAGAAATCCAACATGGAGTCCAGCTCGGAGGACGACGAGGCCATCAAGGTGTACAACTTCAAGCTCTGCCAGACCTCTGTCAAGGGGGAGCAGCCGCTGGCCAATAGTCTGGCCGAGCTGGCCGTCCTGACAGCCCAGGACGATGAGGAGGAGGAAGAGGAGGAGGAGGAGCAGCAGGTGACTTCCTCCACTCTGGCCACGCCGACCAGCGCCAGCGAACAGACATCGCTCTCCTCATGGAACTATTCGGGGCCCATTTCCCCGCCACCGGATTTCTCCGATCCGCATGCCCGCGGATCGACCAGAAGCGCAGCGACCAGCCCCGGCTCACCGCTGGACGAGATCGTTGACGAGCTGTCGGCCATCATCCAGCAGCAGCGCCTCGACACGCTCATCCGAAAGCAGCCCGAACAGACGGAAATCGAGGCGGCGAAGCCGAATCGTTTGACCAACTTCAGCATTGCCACGGCCAAATCCTCGACGATCACATCCAGCGCGACCTCCAAGAAGGTGAGTCGCTCGGACTCCTTCCAGGCAGCAGCGGCCCAGGAGCGGGCATCCAGAAGCCTGAGCCAGCGCAGCTCCTCCCACATATCTCTCAATAAAATCGATCAGAATGGACTGGGGCTGGGGAATGCGGCCGGTCCCAGGCGCTCCTCCAGCGAGCTGAGCATCGGGGAGACACCTTCGCTGCAGAGCTTCGAGGTGATTAAGACCATTCTGAACTCTCGCCAGAACAGCCTGACCGAGAGCAGCGCCTCCGCCAGCCCACCACCCAGCAAGGAGGTGGAGCAGGATCAACCAAAGAGCAGCCCCACAGCAGTGGCCAGGCTGGAGCGACATGCCGCGACATCTGGCCAGGCCAAAGAAAAAGCAACACCAGAGCCAGAGCCAGAGCCAAAGCCGTCTCCACCGCCAGTCAAGGCTCTCAAGCAGCCGTCTCCGCCTCCAGCTAAGGCCGTGAAGGAGCAGCAACAGGTGGCTCCAACTGCAGCCAAGACAGTCCAGGAACAGCAGCCGCAACCGCAGCCCGCTGCAGCATCAACGTTGAGGGCCAGCCCAGGAGCCAAGGAGCAGTCAGCAACAGTGAAAGCAATCAAGGAGCAGGCATCACCAGTCACCTCGCCAGTCGCCCTGCGACCAGCAACAGTCCAGACACAGACAGAGGATCATTTCCCGGACACAATCACAGTCATAACAACCGTGAAGGCGGCCGCCCCACCAGCAGCAGCTGCGAAGCCGCTGCCGCCACAATATCGCTACTCCGGCCCGCCCAACATTAACTTTGGGGCCTGGAGCGAGCGACCCAAGTCGCAGGTGGCCATCAAGAACGAGGGCGACTACATATTCGGAGGAGCAGGCGCCACTCCCGCGCCCGCTCCAGCCAAGCTGACCATCGAGGTGGCATCGCCCATGCTGAGGATGGGCATACCGCAGCGCAAGGAGTATCATGTGCCGATTACAGTCAAACCTCTGCGGGATGTTACACCTCCAACAGTAGCGGAAGAAGCACCAGCACCAGTCCCTGCTGCCACATCCCCATCTCAACCACAAGTCCTATCCTCGACATTGCCCAGACCCGCCAAGAGCCATCGTTTCACGCTGCCCGCAGGTGGTGGAGGTGGTGGAGGTGGTGTAGGCGCCTCACTGCCACGTCCTGTTTCCACACTGGAGCGCAACAAGGCGCCAGCCGAACCCACGCCAGCGCCATTCGGCCAGAACACGCTGCGGCGAACGGGCTTCAAGGAGCGCATGCTGGCCAGGGAGCAGCAGGATCAGGAGAAGGCCCTAACACGTGTCTCAGTGCCAGCTGCCATCCCAGTTGCCACAGCAGTCGAGGTGCCAGCGGCAGCGCCCACTGTAACAGCAGCAACACCTCCAGTACCAGCACCGAAGCCTGTTCCAGCGTCCAAGCCCAGCCAGGTGAGCGTGCTGAAGACCAGCACGGTGGAGCTGAAGCTGCAGGAGCCCGAAGCACAGCCACAACAGACAGCCAAGTTCCAGGTGAAGCTGCGCTCCACAAGCGGGCAAGCGGCGGCTGCCGCGAGGACAGCAGCCACGCCGCCGCCACCGCCTCCGCCACAGATGGGAGTGTCCCTGAAGCCACTGAAGGCAGCGACAGAGCGGGCTGGACGCAGTCAGTCCGCTGAGGATCCGCGCTCCCAGCTGCTGGACGCGATACGCAACTTCAAGCGGGACGAGCTCAACCGATCCTAAGGGGATACACAGCGGACAGCGGGGGGAGGGGGAGTCGCAGGGTCAGTCACACAAACGAGGAAGGAAGAGCACAAATTGTGTTTTTTTTTGTTTTATCGATTATTATTAGCAGTAAATTAACATACCAAATTTACTGCTGATTTTTGCTTTTTATTTGTTCCCATTGTAAATAATTCGAAAATCGTTCGGAAATGCAAAAACGAATGCCGGATGGGTGTTGTATATCTGAGGATGAGAGTAGAGAATGTGTTTTTTTTTTAAACTGTATTTTTTTTTGTATACCGTATCACATTGATTTTTTTAACTAATCTTAATTTTTGTTATGAACTATGTAGTTTTTTTTTAAACACTTTGTTTTAGTCATTTGGTCACAAGAACCCAAAAAAAAAAGAAAGCAAAAAACAGTCGAGGAAAATAATGAATGCAAATCAAAAGCAAAGGAAATGATTTATATTATACATATAAATATGTTATTACGCCTATAATTATTATTTTGTATGCCTTAGTGAATTATAGTAACCAATTTTCTAACCAATGGGACTGGTCTGTGTCTACTTAGTCGAGTCGAAACAAACAAGTGAAACCCCAAAACTAATAGCACAAAAGCGAAGAGCGAGCAACAGCAGTGTTAATAATGCTAATACAAATAAAAATACAAATAATTATTGGTCTAAGCACACATATAGCCGCTGCAGAAATTGCATTTAGCGCTCCTGTATATATACATATATGGCATTGTATTAAAGTGAATAAATAAAACTAAAAATCATTACAGAACCAGAGCCTTAGTATTCAAATAGAAACTGTTAAGGTGGGCCAGAATGTTGGGCAAACAAATTTCTAAGAAGTTGGCAGCACCTTTCATGCCGTTTTCCCGTGTGCAGCTCGATAATAATAGTGTTTGTTCTATCGAACCAGTTCCGTCTTGGACAGCCCTTCAAATTGTACAATTTCCCGATTAATTAATTCAAAAAAACTATACCAAAAGCGTTTTACATGCGGTTAATGGGTTAAATGAAACACCGAGTTTCGGGATATTTGCACATCGAAATTAAGTACAAGGTATTTTTACGGTATATTATGCAGATGAGAAGGTATATTTTGGTATGTCTGCGAGGGTCAGGCGGTATATTTTATCGACAAATCCGCGGTCAGACCGAATTGTATAATGTAATTTGGATTTATTTAAAAACAGAAGAATATCTAACAAAGAGCAGCAATATGGCACTACAAATTCTGAGGCGTCTGACTAGCACGCTGCCAATGACGAATATCACGGTCAGTGCCACCACCAACACCTGCCAGCAGCACTTGCTACACACAACGACGGCCTGCTGTGAGATCCGGAAACTGGCCCGTCTCCGGGTGGTGGACAACAGTGAACTGGGGAAGCGTGCAATGGCAGAGGGTCGCCCTCCGCGCTGCATCCATGTGTACAATAAGCGCGGCGTCGGCTACATTGGCGACAAGGTGCTGGTGGCCATCAAGGGACAGAAAAAGAAGGGCATACTGGTGGGCCTCAAGCAGAACCAGAAGCCCAAGCAGCCAAAGTTCGACAGCAATAATCTGGTTCTGATCGACGACAATGGCACACCGCTGGGCACACGCATCCATGTACCGATACCCACCGTCCTGCGCACGATACTCAAGGAGAAGACAGTGGCCAAGGGTGCCGACTACACCAAGGTGCTGGCCATCGCCAGTCGCTATGTTTAGTCATTATTGTTGTGGATTGTGTAACGAAATAAACAACAGCTTTGTTCTAGTATAATTCGAGTGTTTGTTGGCTGGAGGACATGGTCAAGCAGCTCTCCAGACTTGCAGTTCCATTCGCATTGCAGGACACAAAAGAATGCAATTAAAATTCAAGCTCTGCTTTTGTAGTATTGTATGTATTATGTGTTTAATGTAATCGCTATTAGATCAGCTAGTTTACATAGTATTTAGTTTTAGTTTTAGTTTTAGTTTAGTTTGTGGTTGGGGGGGTGGGGGCCTAACATTTATAAATTATGTTTGCAAGGTATGTACACATGGGCGTTGCAGTTAACAGTAACAGAAATGCACGTTTTATCAGTTTTTGTGGGGTAGGGGCGTTGTTTTGGAAGATTAAGCAGAAGCAGCACAGAGAGAGGTACATTTTGTTGAAATTGTTTGTCCGTCCACCAGTCATCATGCGCGGGAGAGACACAACGCACTCTCCACTCGTCATGTCACTCGGTCAGGTCACTCGTCTTTTGTCTCCTTCCGATTCAATGTCTTTTGCCGTCCGTCCTTTGTATTCTCTGTCGCCGTCTCCCTCTGATTCGCCCCGCTTTCCGTCTCTCGCTCACACAGGACGAGTTATGTACAGGAAAAAAAACAGCTGAACAAACAGTTAAAGATCACTTTGAATTAGGCATTCCCCTTTTATCGTAGCTTTAGGGGAATTTTTCAGGGTTCGTGTAAGTACAGGTACAGCAGCGACGCCTCGTTGCTCGTTGCGATCCCCAAATTGGATTAGATGTTGCCAGCGCTGCCGAAGAACTGGAAATTGTTGAAGTTCACCGGCGTCTTGGGGCTGGGCAGATAGAGGAAGTCGTCGTTCTGCAGCTGGGACTGCGTCAAATTGGGCTCGCTGGCGCTGTGGTGGATCTTCGGCAGCGTGCGCAACATATTCTCGAGCATGTTGAGCAGTGGGCGGAAGAGCGGTCTGTCCTTGGGCGTGTACTTGATGCAGTCCTCGGCCAGGCGTTTCAGCGCCTGCGGCGAGTCGGAGCGCACCTGGCTCATGTCTGGCCGCAGCAGACCGCGCCCCACCATAAACAGAATCTGATCCTTGTTGCTGATGTGGCCGTAGGGCAGGCACTCGGCCAGCAGCTCATACATCACAATGCCGAAGGCGTACACGTCCGACTGAAAGGAGTACGGATTTAGCTCCTGCATCCGTATCACCTCAGGCGCCATCCATAGAATGCTGCCCGTCGGCTGGTTGGCCTGCTTCTCGCCCGACCATCTGGTCTTCGCTGTGGCCAGTCCGAAATCGCCAATCTTCACCGACAGATCCTCGTGGAGGAAAATGTTGTTCGATTTCAGGTCTCTGCACGGCAGTCAAAGGAAAGTCAATTCAAGTCCCAACATTCATTACTTTGGCGTAGTTTTCCACTCACCTGTGTATGATGTTCTTGGCATGGAGATAGTCCATGCCCTGGGCCACTTGCCGGCCAATGTCAATGAGCGTGTTAAGCTTAAACTTTGTCTCGCTCACGTGGACATGCTTGTAGAGGCTGCTGCCCTCGCACCATTGGGTGACAATCGCCAACGATGGCTTCGAGACGCAGCCCATGAAGAGCAGAATGTTGCAGTGGCGCGTCTTCTTCAGCATGGCCACCTCGTTCTTGAAGGCCTGCAACTGGGTGGGACTGGGCGTCTTAACGTTGAGGGTCTTGACGGCAACGGGTCCATGCCAATGGGCACGATAAACGGTACCAAAAGACCCGGAGCCAATACGCGGTCCAATTAGAATCTCCTCCGCTTTAATGTTCTGCAAAAGATTCGTAGAGCAAATGTTTGTTCCAATAAAACAATTTGTAAAATAAGTAAAACCAACAATGCGCTTTGAGCAGCGCAAAAAGATTAAGCTCTGGTCTCAAACCTCTAATCACGGATGCACGCAGAGCTTTCATGTATGTGAGGATGCATGCAGAGCTTTTAGCTAGGATTAACGGTTCGCTCTGCATTCAGATTTGCTCAGACAGAAAGAGAAGCTGTAGAGAGAGTAGCTGAAAACTCAAAGCTCTATGCAGAAATGCGATTGTATGCGTGTACGCAGTACACCTGCAGTTGAAATTATTGTCGAAGATCAACACAAAAATATGATATTAAATGTGTCGCGCGCAAGCTCAAAGTATGCTTTGCCATACCCAATTCTCCTCGGAGCTCTTGTCTTCACGTGACAGCAGATTCTTGTTGCTCTCGTCGGCGGACCGGGCACGTGGTCGATTATGCTTGAGAGTGCTCGTGGGCGAGGCCTGGGTCGAGTTCGAATGATCCGTGCATGGATGCTGGACGAGCAGAAGGAAAAACAAAATCAATTAGCAATTAACAAAGCGAGTAAATGGACTGTGTGATGGCGGCACTCACCGGCAATGGTGGCCTAGCGTGCATTATGAGGCTGCGCTGAACCTCAGTGGTGACCGATCGGATGTTATTGATGCACACATTGGGAGCGGAATTGGAGCGGTCATCCTGGCTAATGCGAGGCGGCCGGCCCTGTCGATTGTTTGCAGAAGGTTTAGAGCTGTTGCTGCTCCCGCTGCTGCTGCATCGCCGGCTTCGGCTGCGGCTACTCACGTTGAATCGGACGGCCGAGCCGCGTCCGGGAAACCCAAGAGCGTTGTCCGGGTTCTCGGCCAGCAGTCGCTGGTAATAGCTGTCCATGGGGAAGGGCTGGCACAGCATCGGCACCAGGGACGCGCACCGCTGATGGAAGCGAAAGTTGCACTGACTGCAATAGAACCCGCTGAAGAGTAGCCGCCGGCAGCCCTCGCAGAAGACCAGCGAGAAGAATGTCTTGCGTATGATCTGATGCTGCGTGTGCGTCCGAATGGGGAACTTGTCCAGCAGTCGCACAAATATCTCCTCCACATGCAGCGTGCCGATGTCCGTGTTCCACGGTATGATATGTCGACCGCTATGCGATGTGCTCACCTCGCACATGTCCGGCGTCAGCTGGCGCAACTTCAGCGCCTTCATCAGAGCATCGCAGAGTCGCACGCCGGACACCACTTCGACCGAGGTGCGCTGCTGGTTGGGCAGATGGGCCCGCAGCAGGATCTTTGGCTGGCGTGTGAGCGTGCCGCACTGGCTGGTGCTCCCGGAGCCCGGGTTCGACATTAGGCTGTCGGTCAAGTCGCTGCCATGGTAGCCCAAGGGACCTCGCGCCAGCTGCCGCTGCTGCTGGAGTATCTGCGTCTGGTTCTGGTAGTGCGGCTGATCCGCTAAGTTGCGCTGCTGCTGCTGCTGCTGCTGCTGTATATCCGCCGCACTCTGACTGCCATCGTCCTCCTGCTGCAACGCATTTAGCTGCTCCATCAGCTCGTGCTCCTTGGCCTCCAGCTCATGCAGCTTCGACGTTAGTTCCTGGTATTCTGAAATCCAATGAAAGCATAAATAAGACTATACATACCCTGCCCTGCTGTGCCACTCACCTGTTAAGTACATGGCCGGCGGCTCTTGGAGATTGGCAAACTTGGCGTTCAGGGCATCGATGTTCTCCCTGGTGACGTGCTTGACCAGCTGCACATTGAGCAGCTCCTCGGCCAGCGGGTCGTACAGCTCGCTGTCGCTATCTGTTGACGATTCACTCGTCATGGTCGCAATCTCTGGCTCTACAGCTGCTTGACCATGACCCTGAACCTCCTCTTGTCCTTCGTCTCTGCAATGCTCGGTTCTCCTTGGGTGTCGGGTGTTCGCTGTTCGGTGTTCAGTGTCGCTCCTCGTGATGGTGTTGTTGGCTTCACCTTCGCATTGGCCGTGGCCGTGGCCGTGACTCTGACTGTGGGATGTTTGCTATTTTTGCTCGGCTACTGGTCTGCGCTTGCGTTTAGAGTGCGCCGCTGTGCCACCCACGTCCGCATGCAGCAAGGAGCGTGTGCTGCATTTTACCTTATTGCGATGTCCTTCTTTTTTTTTGGGTCTCTCCTTAGCCTTGCGGCAGAATAACTTGCATTCAAAATGCGTTTGCTGTATTTGTCTCTTATTTTAATTTGAAATCTTTTTGGACTTCCCAATGCACCCACACACGACCGCGCGCACACACACAAACGCACGCACACTGGCCCCGTACGCACGCTAAGGTATGTACATGTATTATTTAATATGAAGGTCGCCGTTCCCGGTCCCCGCTCCAACCGTATTTTACTTGCCGGACGGGACTCTCAGAATCCTGGACTGGGTTGCGGCCTCTGTGTGGTCTTTCTGGCCGGCCCTTATCGATGGTTTAACCAAGGTTGTGTCCTCCAAAAGATGTTAAACGGCTTGGGCCCTAAATAAGGACACAGGACTTGCTGGCTAAAGCTGATTGAACTTGAGGGCAGTGTGACCACGGAATTATCGGTCAAATATACCGACAGACCCTCGGAAATACACCGAAACATACCCTTTCATTTTGAAAATAGACTTTAATATACCGTACATCTTAAATCATTTTCCTCGAATTTGATGTTCTATTTAATATTACCAGCTAGTTGTGATTCTCAGCGCTTAAACTATAATTTTATCAGAACAATCAATATTCTACAAGATTGATTGCAAAATAAAGTTAAAACTACAAAGGTGCGAACTGTAAGGGACCAGATCTAATCACTTTTCGCAGCACGATTCTGCCACATACTAATTATGTTGGCAATGGTACAATTTGTAAGTGGTAACGGAATTCAACGTAAGTGGTGGTGTCACAGGGCTACCATTTACGGTATATTCTGATGTCGAAATTAAGTTGCCGGTATATTAACGGTATATTTTGAGAATACAGAGGTATATTTTGGTGTATTTGTGAGGGTCCGACAGCGCATGGTGAAATTAGTAACAGGGTGACGGTTTCACCACAGTGCCTTCTCATTCGAGGAACACCTGCTTGTCAGTCGTTTGCCAAGACGTAATCGGAAGACAATGAAATCGTTTTTTTATTTTGGATGTGTATGTAATTGAATCTTTATTCAATTACATCCATTTTAGAAACAAACATGTCTGCAAAATATATTTTGCTATGCCGCTCCAAATCTTTACTTAGCTGTCGGCAGGAACAATGAAAGCGAAGAGTGCAGAACGTATAACGTTTGCTATCTCTCTCTTTCGCTTGCCTCTCTGAGAGCTGAGAGAGCGTGGTGAATAAGCATGTGCTCCTCCACTCAGCTGACGACGTCACCTTGTTACTAATTTCACCATGCGACTGTGTATTGTATCGATACAATATATCGCAAATTCAGGCATTTTCACACGCTCGCGAATCGGCCATTTTATTTTGCGCGCACAAACTGCATAAAAATTGCGGATTTAATGTTTTAAAGTGCGGACTGGAAGCAGGAATGGACGAAGGTAAGTTTGAATGCTAGCCAGAGATGGCTCTCATGGCCGCATTACCCGCTAATCGACGGCCGCGTCTCTCTTTGACTCCCATTAACTCTGGCAGAGTATTCGGCGTCATCTTCGGCCGGTGGCGGTGGAGCAGGCGCTGGCGGGAAGAAGGCCGGCAAACAGCACAACACCCTACCTTTCTGGGGCAACGAGACTTCAATGAACCTGAATCCACTGATCCTCGCCAACATCCAAAGTTCCAGCTACTTCAAAGGTGCGTGTCCCGTAGGAGCGAATGCGTGTAGCGTGTCCCACCACCGCCACACGAGTATTTATTTGATGGACTCTTTCTGTTTCTCCACGTACAGTACACTTGTTTAAACTGAAAACCTACCATGAGGTCGTTGACGAGATATATTACCAGGTGAAGCACATGGAGCCATGGGAGCGCGGATCCCGCAAGACCTCCGGCCAGACCGGCATGTGCGGCGGTGTGAGTTGTTTATGAAATGTAGCGCTAATCGTTGGCGATGCTCCTCGTTTGCTCTTCTGGCGCAATGGTGGCTCATGCTCTTCTCCCCATTGCCCCTTTCAGGTGCGAGGCGTTGGAGCGGGCGGAATCGTGTCCACCGCGTACTGTCTGCTCTACAAGCTGTACACCCTGCGTCTGACGCGTAAGCAGATCAACGGACTGCTCAATCACACAGACTCCGCCTACATACGGGCACTAGGTAGGTGTTGGTAAGTCGCATGAGTTCAGCCGCCACATGTCGTCGCTTGCTCCTGCTCCTGTTTAGCAAAAACAGAACCCACCACATTCCCCCCATCCATACCTAGTCCCACCCAAATAATGATGCCACTCGAACGAGATACATATATAATGTGCATTTATTCTCCATTGAAGGGTTCATGTACTTGCGGTATACACAGCCACCCGGGGACTTGTATGACTGGTACGAGGACTATCTGCAGGACGAGGAGGAGATTGATGTGAAGGCAGGCGGCGGCCAGGTGAGTCAACTGTATGAGCCACCAATCACACGTTATACACTAATCGCTTCCCAGTCTACGAATCAAAACTCATGCGTTACCTTCTTTTGCTCCATCTGCAGGTCATGACCATTGGCCAGATGGTGTACCAGTTTATGACTAAGCTGGACTGGTTCTCCACACTATTTCCACGCATACCGGTGCCCATACAGAAGCAGATCGAGCGCAAAATTGGAGACTACTGCCGCGATCAGGGCATCACCCTCAATCAGCTGAGCTCGGGACGGCCGGTCACGGGTCCGCCCGGTGGCGGGGCTGGAGCTGCGGCTGCGACAGCTTCTGCTGGTGGCCCCGATGAGGATTATCAGGAATACCATGAGAGCGGTAATGGTGGTGGTCACAGCCATGTCGGGGGAGACCGTGCAGCCGGCGGAGGTCGTGGCGGTGGACAGGCTATGGCCGGTTTCGGCTCTCGTGCTGGAGTCGGTGGATATCCACCGGTAAACTATCGCAATGATCACGATGATCGCGACTACTATGCCACATCGTCGAGCTCGTCGTATGCGCGTGGTAGAGGCTATGAAGATTACCCACCGGTGGCGCTGCCATCGGCACCCATGCCCTACCACTCCTCTGGGGACCGGGAACGTGACCGGATAAGGGATCGGGAACATGACCGTGATCGGATGAAGGATCACGACCGCCAACGCAGCAAGCACAAGAAGAAACACAAGCATAGACACTACTCACGCAGCCGAAGCAGAAGTCCTAGCCGCAGTCGCCATCGCTCGGAGCGTCACGACCGCAAACGGGATGCTGGTGGCGGTGGAGCAGAGAGCGGGGGGTCCGGCAGAGGTGGCTTCGGTTCGGAGCGGAGTAGCAAGAGCCGGCACAGCGATCATCCCGAAGATCGAGAGCGGGATCGAGAGCGAGAGCGACGCCATCGGTGATCACAGCCCTCTCACAACCACCTTGTCCTTCTTCAGCAGTTGTTTGCTCTGATTCTATTTGTTTCCACAGTATCACACTACACTACACAATTCTTATTTTTATGTAAAAACCAGTTGAACTCATTTTTTTGTATAGGCCCGGAGGACTGGTGGGCTCGTACTCAGGTTAAACACAGACCTCGACACATATACACACGCACACACCAACACACTGACAGACAAACAGCGGCATGGCTACATATATATGTATATAAATACATATATATAAATATATTAACTAATTTGTGACACCTACACCCTTAATGATAAATAGTTTCCAAGTTGTGTTTTATGCTAATAAAGATAAACAATTTTGTTTTAAATCATTTGATTATTACCCAAGCTGTGTACAATTAAGAACTTTCAAATAGATAATCTAGAACAGGAAGACATCCAAAATGATGGCCAGCCCAGATAAGGCTTTTGCAGCGAGGCAGGATTTTATTAAAAGTGAAATATTTATAAATATGATACCTCTAGACAAAGCATGAACAAAGAATACAAGAAATATTAAGTCTTAAAAAAAACGTCTGCCATAGGAAAAAAAAAATTCATTAAAAATTGTGAATGGCCCAAATCTTTTAGAAAAAGTTGGTATTGGCTGCTCGATTTTGTCGAGTACTTAGTGTTATCCTAGTGTTATCATTAATCAAGTCTAGTGGAAAACTGTCAGAAGGACTACTGAGAACTGAGTGGAACGCTTGATACCTATTAATTATACCTACCAGAATATTTTGCGTTCTTTTGGTTACAAATACTGATTAGAAACATACCGGAATTTTTTTTACAGCGTAGCCTAAAACTAGAACTGCGCTTATGGCCGAGCTTTCCGCGTGAAGGAATTTGTATTTTTGTGTACTTGCATGTGTGCACACATGCACAGCAAGGCAGGAAATTCGCGCTTCAAACTTTCTATCGGAATAACAACTATGTGGGGTCTCTCTTGCACTGTTGATAGCTGCATGGTATTGTTATATTTATTTACATCCATATATGTATACACACTTATGTACATATACCCCTTTCTTTCAGTGCAGCCGAAATACGAGCTGTGCTTGAGCTGAGCTTTGCAACCGAGCTGCGTAGATTATTAGCTGCGGCGGCTCCAAGCCTCTCCTCTTGACCTGGGAGCACATTTCGGATTTCGAATTTCGGATTTTAGTTGCTTGCGCACAGTGAATCGCGAAACAAGCTCAGGCCCCGCGCCCCACAACAATAACAATAACAACAATTGCAGCAGCAGCGGCGTCTGGCTGGTCGCGCGCCAAACCGTTACGAAGAGAGCAACACGAAAATTGAGATCTGCAAGAAATGTAATTTGCATGTGCTTTTCCATTACCAGTTTCGCGCGGACTTTTGGCTTATTTTACTGTTTATACTTATTCGAAGGCACGCACACAGAAACACACACAGAGCTAAAGAGAGACTCAGAAAGCATAGGAATGATCAATGTCAGGCAACGATGAACAAATAAAACCAGAATGAATGAGACACACAGTAAACGGCACACAATTTACGCGTGTGCGAATGCGCGCGTCAAATGGCCTGCTTTGACCATTTTGAGAAGACGGAATGGTTATTGGGTGCTTGTGTGCGAGTGTGTGAAGTGTATGGCCGGCAGCTCTATCCTCTCTAACTCATCAAGTTATTAGCCACTATTCCAGCACCATTTTGGGAAAGGGGAAGGGAAGCCAAGTTGCTTTTGTTTATTGGCCACTCTTTCTCTAGCTCTCTTTGTGTATACACAAACACTAACGCACGTGAAACGCTCTCTGGGAATCCTCACCTTTTGTTAATACACTTTGGAAAGGGGGGAGCTTTGAATGTTAGTTGCGGCGATTTCGGTCACTGGGACAAAAGCACAATGCGCTGAGACAATGAGAGGGAGAGATACAGCCAGAGTGAGAGAATGAGAACGATATGGAGACTGGTCATTATCCTTCAGTTTTTTTTCTTGTTTACTTTGTGTTTCTGTTTCGTCAAATGCATTGACGTAATTGCCCATATACACACACTTACAGAACACTCACACACATACGGGTA